AAAAAAAGAAAAAAAGAAAAAAAAAAAAAAACTTACGTCCGACTGTACAGGCTGGTAGGGCTCTCCAGAGGTTTCTGTAAAGAGTTGTGTCCTGATGGAGGATGCAGCGCTCCTCCATCCATCGCGTCTGGTAAACCGGAAGCACTCCCTCTGGTCTGCGGCTGCGGCTGCATCTCGATAGCCTGACCGATGATATGGCCGCCATCCACGGAAGCCTCCATTCCAGCCGGTCTGTTGGAGGGTCGGCGGGTAGGACCACCGGGGGAAGGACCGCGACGGTCATATCCGTCTGGCGGCGGAGGCCCATAATCTGGAGCCCGCGAACCGGTACCAGAGGCATACGGATCAAAGTTACGGTTGGGCCCGCCAGGACCAGACGTGTAACCGGCGGGAGGAGGGCCCCGTTGTCCCCGAGCCATCATGGGCGGAGGACCTCCTCCTCCTCCACGCACTGAGCCCATCGGGCCTCCTCGACCCTGAGCTCCGTAAGAACCTCCTCGCCCGTATCCTCCGCGCGGGGGATAACCGCCTCTCCCCCCACGCGGACCAAATCCTGGAGGTGGCCCCCGGCGAGATCCCATGCTGCCGTCAGAGTATTGGTTATGTAGGCGAGGGTCAGAGCCGTTGGGTCTCATCCCGGGACCGGGGCGATAAGGGCCTGGAGGTGAAAGTCGGTTGCCCATTGGATCGCGGGGGTCCGCGTACGGTGGCCCATCACCACGCGCGGGGGGGCGGCCTTCGGAAATGGTAGGAGGCAGCGATTGGGGCTCGCTCGGCGGAGAGCTGAAGGAATTGAGGGGGGTGCGGTCATCGTCACTCTCCCTGGTGGTGGTACGGAAGGTTGCAAACGTTGGCCCAGGGTCCGCGCCGGGCGAAGTCGCAATGATGGGTTCCTTGACATCTCCTACCAGCGGCCGGTTGAGATCCAGACTGGCGGCTGCCGCGGCAGCATTCTCGCGGTTGTAAAAGTTCTCTCCGCTCATCTCTGCATTCTCGGCGATACGCCTCTTCCTGGCCTTGCGGCTCACCAGCGTTCGTCGCATCGCGCACGTCACCACTCCACAGGAGACCAGGATCACGGTCGCAGCCAGCACAATCCACCCTCCCCATCGCATGTGCGGGACAAATAGAAGAATGTCGACCAGGAAGGCGAGTAGCGTAGTCAAAAGCGTCGGCAGGAGTAGGATCAGCAGAGCGAGCAGATATCGAGGCGAATGTGACGGGGCGTGGAAGTGGGCGGCCGCAGCCATGCAGAAGCAGATCAGAGTGAGTAACGCGGCAACCGGATGGACAATCAGGATGGAGGAAAGCGATCGTCGAGTGCTCGAGGGGAGATCGAAATTGCTGTCATCGCTATTCAAGTCACCTACACAGCATTATTGTCAGCAAGTCATAATTAGAGAGAAGAAACGGGTAAACTGACTTGTGTAGCCGACATGGACGGCGGTACAAGCATCGCCCTTGCAATAGCCAAACACCCCGTAATCCACGCCGTCATTCGTCGCCAAGGGGATTCCTCGGACAATAGGGACTGAAATAACAGAGACCAGCAGCAGCACAAGCGCGATGAACAGCAGCACCGCGAGGGGTGTCGCCGGTTTGAGGAGCATAGCGACCGAGGAGAGAGCTGGGAGAAGAGCCCCCCCAGCAACACTGACGACGACGAAGATCCCTCCTCCTCTGTACAACTAGAATAGCTCTGATACACTGAATGCGCGCGAATAACTCGATTCTATCGCTTTCGCTGCGACATTGCTGCTCGTAGGGGTTGGGGGGAGGGAGGGGTTGAGGCCAAGCGGCCAGGAGGGAGACGAAGCAGCGATAGGGAAACCTGGAGAGAATAATTGGGAAGCGAACGAATCGAAGAGGGCCGCCCTGAACCTGCAGGTCTCAGAAGGGAAAAAATATAGAAGAGATGGACAACCAGCAGAGAGACCCCCCGCAAAGAAACAAGACAGAAGCAGCCAGGAGGGATGGCAGTGCGCAGTGGGTGGCGGAGAGGAGAGGAGGAGGAGGAGGAGGAGGAGGAGGAGGATAACGTGACCTGGTCGAATCTCTTTCTCTTCTCGACAGCAAAACTCGCTTGTCTCCACGCACCAGGACAGGCGTCTTCTATCATTTCTATCTATCGTTTGTACTCTACATTATTCAGTATTTAAAAAATGTTACCACTCTCCACTCGGAGTACCTCGTGTACGGACTAAGTACTTCGTATGCTACATCCTACTGTCTCGTAACCGTGGCTGAGGCTAATACAAGCTGCTGCACAGCTATCGCACGATTACTCCAGAGATAACCCGCTGATTCGTTCGCCGGGATGGCAGATAAGTGGAGGCCAACAAGATTGAAGAGACATTAAAGGGAGGGCCATGGCCCCCTCCCCCCCTCTCCTCGGGAGGACGTGCCATTCTGTCGGTCTTTTGAATGAGACGCGTCCTATCAGAGAGAAAGCAGACTGTGCTAATGCGTGTACCCCTTGAATAGGCATGGCATGCTGGCTTCAGTACTCGGTAGACTACTCACTACAGTGCTCCGACTCCTCAGTACAGTACTCCTACGAGTAGTGATACCACTCCTTGCGATTGAATAAGGGTATACGGGTATGGAGTATAACTACGGAGTACGACGGACTCCACAGTCCCACGAGGACTCCGCAGCCGTTTGATCTACTGGTACAGCATACCCTTGGTTGAGACAATCGAAACAGACAAATGGAGAAGAACGTTGATCAGGGGAAGTACAGGAACAATTCCTTGCTAGGAGTCAGGCTAAGGTCAATGTAACATTGTTTACTGTACAACTCCCGGTTATTCGAGAATTCACTACAGACAGTAGAGAATAAAGATTAATATTACATTTGTGATAAAGGAGAAAACAAGACTGAATATACCAAGTAAATATACCAAGCACCCTTCAACTAAATAAACTACTACATAGTTACTCCGTGATATGCAGTATTTCCCCTGGCAGAGTCGATTAATCAAGTTTAGCCTGAGAGTCCTTGGTCGCCGGCTCCGCAGGGCTGGCAGGGCTACCGCTGTGGTCATGTCTGGCAAAGCTGTGACCCTCGGTAATAGCGACGGTCTCGAGATCACTCGGATGGATACTCATATGACTGCGTTCGCCCTCGAAGAAGAGGGCGTAGGCTTCCTCGCCGTGCACGGCGTCGTCGCCGATCATCAGGTGCTCGTCGGACATGCGCAGCGGGATGCGCAGCACGTACTTGATGAACAGCATGATCACGGAGGTCATGAAGAGGTTCAGCCCGATGATGAACAGCGCCCCGACGATCTGCAACCAGACTTGTCTTCCGTTGCCGTCAATCGCTCCGCCGGGGTTTGTGAGACCGAAAGCTGCGCACCCTTCTTTGGTGGCGAACAGCCCGGTTAGGAACCCGCCGAGCGTACCGGCGACCATGTGTGTATGAACAGTGCCCACTAATTCATTAATATATATAGAGAGAGAGGGAGAGAGAGAAAGAGAGAGAAAGAGAGAGAGAGTGTGTGTGTGTATGACTTACTGACGTCGTCAACCTTCTTAAACCATTCTTGACGTCCCAGGATGTTCATGGAAACCCAGGGAATGGAGCCAGAGCAAGCGCCGATGATGATGGCGCCCCATCCAGTAACAAACCCAGCAGCCGGGGTGATGGCAACCAGCCCGGTGATCTCTCCCTGCACGGCGCCGATGACCGACGGCTTCTTCAAGAAGATAAAGTCCAGGACCGTCCACACGAGTAGACTCATGGCGGTGCAGATGTTGGTGTTGAGGACGGCAACGCCGGCATCGGGACTCGCAGCGTACGGGTCACCACCGTTGAATCCGTTCCAGCAGACCCAAAGGATGCCGGCGCCGACCAGCATGAGGAGCACGTTGTTCGGATAGAAGGAGTCTTTGTCGCGCTGGAGGCGAGGACCGAGCCAGTAGGCAGCGATGAAGCCTGAAAAGGTTATCATCCGAAAGCATGATATAAAGCCATGACGCATATGCATACCTGCAGTTCCAGAACTCAAATGGATGACGTATCCTCCAGAATAGTCCAGGACACCCATCTGGTACAAGAAGCCTCCTCCCCAGATACTAATTTGTCAGCCATGCATATAGATATATTTATATGTGAGAGAGAAAGAGAGAGAGAGTCTCACCTGAAAGCGCCAACGGTATAGCTAAAGGTAATCCAAAGAGGAACAAAGACCATCCAGGCCAGGAAGTTCATGCGGCCTAGCAAGGAGCCGCCCAAAATGATGACGGTGATGGCGGCAAAGACAAACTGGAAGTAGATCATGGTCGACATGTTGAAGTTGGTCGTGACGTCCGCGGCAGGCATATACGTCTGCGCCAGGTTCTGACGCATGGTCAAGACCGGTCCTGGGGTGCCCACGAGAGGGAATCTGCCCCATTGTTCTCCGAAACCCATCTTGTATGCCCAGATAACCCAGCAGATCAGCGTGGCGGCGAAGGCGTAGAAGACCTAAAGGTAGAGAGTCTTAGTCGATAATCATCATTCAGTGTTCGTATACATGTTCAATTCATACCATGAACGCCGAGTTAATAGCCCATTTCCTATTCTCAATCAGCTTATCGTCCAGCAAGACAGGTCTCGGTATCAAACTCACTTCTTGACGAAGCCAGCATAGAGCATAGCCAGTCCAGGGATGGACTGCAAGGCAACCAAGGTGCCTGCCGTGAGCTGCCATGCCTGGTCACCCTTATTCAACCAGCTAGAAACAACGGAGTCAGCAATTGAGTCTCGAGAGAGTCCCGTTGTCCAGACACTTACGCAGGGTCTTCGTTAGTCAAGTCGGACATGACGAAAGCGACTTCAGAGACGGTCCAGGCCAGAGATGAGGGGGGAGGGGCACTGAAGAGCTCGTTATCAAGATCTGATCGTTCTCTGGAAAGGGGAAGGCCAGCTATATTTACCTTCTTTCCGTGCTGTTCGACAACCGCCCCATGGTGAATCCCCCCCTCCCCCCCTTCTCTCTCGGACTCCAGCTCGCCGTCACCTCGTCACAGATGATAAGCCCCAGCTCACTGATAGTGACTAAATCAAAATGAAAACAGCAGCTCTTGATAAAGGTCTTCAGGGAGCACCCTGAGTCCCCTGAAGCCAATCAGACGCCTGCCATTGAGAGCGCGAGAGAGCGGGAGAAAGCACGCGAGAGAGCGAGGGCCAACGACCGTGGGCAGGACAAGGCGAGAGAACCAGTGAGGGAGCAGGCCGCTATCTCTGGCAGTTGTTATGACAGCTTATCACTCTTGAAAAGCACATCCTCAAGGAACACATCTGGAGGCCGAAAGTATTGGCTGTGGCCAGCCGCGTGGCTGGCCTGCAGGGAAGCTCCAATGGAGACGACGTTTCTTATCTCTCTTTTTCTTTTTCTTTTTCTACGGAGTACTACACAGTCCTCCAGGGTATGGACTGACTTTAGTATTGATTTATTGATTATTTTACTGATTTAATACTAGGTCACTCAGAGATTACTAGACTATGTACTACAGATGAGCTCCAGTTCTGTTTATATGCCCAGTATCTAGACAGGTACTACTCTAAACTCCAGATCCAATAAACCAATCCTCATAACTACTTATATACTCTGAAGACTATACTCCATACTCCATACTCCATACTCCATACCGCAATGACAGGCGATCGGCACAGGCAACGTCTCGGCAAGCTTGGCTTCTGGAGAGGGTCGCTCTGGCATCGAGTCAAAGGCCCTGGAGAAGACGACGGGCGGGCCCTGTTGCCCAAGAATACAGGCGCCAAGATGGCCTGGGGGGGCCCCCAAGAGCGCTATGTGGGCTTTGGTATTGGCGGGGCGGGCAACATAAGGAGGTAATACTTGATTACTTCATTCTTACTCGTCACACTTCATAAGTTAGTTACTGGATCAAGTCATGACTAGTTCTCATAGGGTGTCGACTCGGAATGGACAGATTCTCGGTGGAGAGTAGTTCAGAGAATATTTATTCTATTAACTAGATCATATGTACACAAGATAAGAACGCCATTACAATGCTATTCGACATTCGCTGGAACGACCGAAAAAAGGAAAGAAAAGAAAGCGATGAATAGCCAATAGAAACGCAGGTCGTATCGTAGGAAGAGTCATGTACTACATTCAAGTTCGTATGCTCAGACTCGGCGTTAAAATCATCTCGTTGTCGTGCGTGGTTCGTGTCGTCAGATTCGGTTCGTGTGGTTCAAGTTAATATTTCATCACCCCCGTGGTGATGAGCATATCCGCCCTCCCCGGTCGGTGGAAGCGGTCGATGCCAAGGTGCTCCCTCCCGTCACGTCCCACATAGATGCCCAAGCCGTACAGTGAGGTGTCCCTTTCGCCCGGCGGCGCAGTGACCAGGCGCGTCACTAGGTCGGCTTTGCTGCGGGGCTCGCGCAGCAGCTTGTCGGCCAGAAGCGGGCTCTGGTACAGAAAGCTCGTGAGGTCCGCCAGCGTGCTGAGATCGTGCGGCAGGAACCGCGCGCGGCCCGGCCGGAGGAACAGAGTCGAGATGGTGTACAGGGCGCAAAAGGCTACGAGGGCGTAGAAGGCGGGCATGAGTGCCGTGATGCGCACGTTCGCGTCGTCGGGGTACCAGAGCGCGATGAACATGCCGCCGCCGAGGATGGGGAGGCTGGCCGAGAGAATGCTCATCAGGGAGATCCAGGCCACCCGGTAATGGCCGTTGAGAAGCGCAAGCGCCGTGGTTTCGATCGGGAGGCACGCAGGGTACGAGAGCAGGATGCTCTTCTCCGCAGTCGCGCCGCTCGGTGCTGTCAGAGTCACCAAGGGCTGCAGGGCGCGGAAGTACACGTCCACCGGCTGCCAGGCGAGGAAGAGCAGGTTCCCGATCAACGCGGGGATGAAGCTGTACAGGAAGTTCGAGGAGGAAAACGCCCCGGTGGAAGGCAAGGTGGGAAGGCGAGGTGGGAATCCTCCCTGGATGGCATTGTGGGCGAAGCTGACGACCACAAACGCAATGAACAGCGCAAACGCGGTCACGATCCATACTGTAACAGAGGTGTTGCGCAGGAACCAGACCATCCAACGGTGTCTGGCAAAGGGGGAGTACAGCTGGTGATCAAGGTCATCGATTGCAAGGGCGGTTTGCTGTTCCAGATCAAAAGAGACCTTGGCCATGCCATGTGGCTGCTTCTCCCGCCCCTTGTCGGATTGATGCAGGGATGGGTTTCGAATCGGAGCATCCACCTCGCCGATCCCATAGAAAATCTCGAGCTGGTTGGTCAGTCGCCAGTATCCCAGGCGCAGCACCCGCGGGGTCACCACGCTCCCCACGTCAACTGCTGTCTCGGTGTTTTCGTAGTCGTGCAACACGTTCGATCGCTGGATGAGAGGAATAAGGTCCGCCAGCGAGCTTGGATCCCACATCAGCCCGGTCCAGCTGCGAGCGAAACGCATCAGGAGTAGTACTAAGCCGATGACGAGCAATCCGTACAGGCCCACAAGAGTCCACCCCACCGCCTGAACCGCGGTCCATCTCCAGTTGCCCTGTCCGTCGACAATGTACCACTTGGCTTGGAAAAGGCAACTGAGCAGAGGCATGGACAGGAGATTCGACAGCCACACCACGATCAGGAAGCCCCCTGCCAACGGCTCGCCGTGCTGAAAATGCTTCCAGTCCGGGAGAAGAAAGTTCCGCGACAGGACCGGCAGCTTCTGCAGCACCTGGTCCAGAGGTCGTTCAGAGGCCATGATGGCGAAGGGCATGGTGCGGTACACAGCAGCCTGGATGACAAAAGTCCAGATGGTGATGAGAGCCGCTAGGATTTGGGGCAAGAATTGGAAGAGGAAATACCTCTTGCCACCGAGGCCTTGCCAATCCCAGAGTCCATCATGCCGCGACGACCAGACGTTGCTAAACGCCACCCCAGCAATCATGAGCAGGCAACACACAATGGTGATGCCCAGAGAGACCGGTCGCAGCGCGACGGGCACGTAGTCTAGAGCCGGATACAAGAGGCTGTCCTCCGGCGGCTCAGCGGGCTCGAACATCTCCGGTTCGACAGAAGCCGGAGCTGGTCTCGGTGGAGACGACTGTCTGACCACTGCCGGTGGTGCCTGGGATGTAGGGGGTGGGTTTGACGAGCGAGTAAAGTATCCCAGGCCTTCATCCCACACCCGACGGTCGACGGGGTACTCATTCTCTCCCCCCGTCGCGCTTTCTCTTCCCTTGCCAGACACTTCTTCATCCCGCGTGAGCTGGTCAATGGCAAAGCGAATGTAAGGGCCGTCATCGAGGCCGGGTGTTGGAGCACCCCGGCTATCAGAGTCACTCGGCGCCCGTTGAACAGCGGTATCCGATCTAGGACTGATCTGAGCAATTCGGTCTTCTCCGAACCGTACGGTACTGCTCGCAGTCCCCGGGCGTGGCGTGCCGCCGCCCCTTCCCATCGTGCGAGGCATTTCGGGCACGCCGAGATGAGTACGGGAGAGGTTGGTGACGTTGGGTGTCGACGCTCTCGTTAGTGGTGGATAGGAATCCGGCGTCGCATACCGTCCCATGGTATGTCGACTGCTGGTACTGCTAGTATGGTCCGAGAATGAGTAGTAGTCGTCCGAAGCAGCAACCGACTGGCGAGATTCAGTATGTTGGAGTTGAGGTTTGCTCGCTACTCCCGTAGGAATAATCAGCACATACACAAAACGTTGTTTCTCCCTCTCTCTCTCTCTCTCCTCGTACTCTTGCAAAAGGGCACCACGCAAAAGGGGGTGGGGGGTTTCTTCTCACGTACAACTCACTGTTCGGAGACTGACTCTCGAGCTTGAAGGCAACATGGCGGTCTGTCTGTAGCTACCTAAGCCAACCTCCCCCACGCAGCTGGGATATGCACTGCAGACTCACTCCTCCGTGGTACCTTCTAATTGCAGATTGGAGGGTCGATTATTGAACAACAACATTCCACGGTAGATGACGCCTGTGTCTTAACTTAAACCTGCGAGCTGGCAGCAAGGCGGCCCAGAGTCATAGAAAAATCATTTCAGCCCACGCCAGGGCCAGGCACTCGCCGTGGGTGGTTGGATGAGCTCTCGTGGAACCACCCCAGCCTCCTGTTTTCCCTGTCTCCCCCTCCTCTTCTCACCCCCCAGCCACCGACGGGTGGCAGCCCAACCGAGGGTTTCACACCAATAAAGGAGATGGGATGGGCGTGTTGCTTGATCCATGAGGGCGGGTCGATATCTATGCCATTTCAGGGGACAGACACACACACTGAGAGTCGTGGCGTGAGGTGTGTCGTGGACAGGGTTGTTGTCGTGGAAGGAAGGAGGGGGCCGTAGTTCGTATTTGGTACTTTGCGCCTGGATGCCTTGTGGCCTCAGGCAGCGGCACGGCCCGAGCCTTGTGGTACAGAATGGAATGCAGAGACCTGGATGACATGACAGTTAAGTACCTACTGGATAAAAGATGATGATAAGTATATTATTCCATGTGTAGACAGTGACTGATATATAACCCAGATATGTATTTACACCATGGTCTCCCGTGTCAAGTGTCGTATAAATAGGCCGCGACAACAGCCCCCCATCCGCCAGCATTCTGCGTTTCAGTGGCCACCACCAGGTCATCGTCCAGGAAGATGTTCGTCACGCTCTTCGTGTTGGTTCCAAACAGATAGAGTCCTCGAGAAGATTGGACGCGGATGGCGTTCTGCTCGCAGTCGCCGTTGCAACCCCCGTTGTTGTTGAAGAATGTCCAGACGCAGCCGCCGTACAGGAATAGGTTCGACGAGCCCCGGATCCGTTCGAACAGGGCCATGCGACACAGAGAATCGGTTGCGGCGCAGTTCGACCAATCTGGGTCGCTGGAGCCCAGGTCGTCAGTCCAGGGAGCGGGGGCTAGATCGTTGCCGGGCCCCTGCCAGTAAGGGGTTTCGGATTGCTGCAGCGCAGAGAAGACGTTGGCCGCGTTTTCGAAATTGTATTGGTAGAGCGTGTGGTGCTCAAACGCAGTTCCAACCAGCCATGTGCCTCGAGTGGCCTCGACGAGAAGACCCCGACCGGTGGAGATGGTTTGACCATGCGAACCGTCCAGGTCGTGGTCAGCAGTCCATCCCCACATGTTCTCGATGTACACGGACGAGGAGCTGGTCAGATGTAGTAGGCCCCATGCAGCCTTGCATGAGTCGGGCGTACCGGCGCAGTTGGTTTCGACTTTGCTCCCGGCGGCACCACCGATACGGAAATGCGAGTTCCATAAACCGACGTCCCCGGGAGAAGCGCCAGCGATGTTGACCTCAACCTAAAGCAAAGTCAGTACCAAGTACGAGATTGGAAGAAGCAGAAGAAGAAGAAGCTCACCAGTTTGCATCCCTGTAGAACGTCGGCGACGGTGAAGAGCATGTCGTTGATTTGCGCTACACCCACATCCCCGACGTTCCCGACCTTTACCATCGTGGTTGGTGCGTTGGCATTATAAAAATTACCACCGACAGCGCTGATGGCAGAAGCATACGCATCTCCCACAATACGGGAGCCCGCAGGCACTGAGATGGTGTCGGTCACGATATAGGTTCCTGCGGGGAAATAGATGATCTTGCATCCGGCGTATTGGCTGAGAATTGAATTGATGTTTTGGGTGTCATCGGTGACGCCGTCTCCATAAACAGGAAGCCCGGTTACAGATTTGATGTTGATGAATTGGTCCACAGAGTAATCCTCGTAGTTGGGGGGACGCATCAAGAAATAGTTATTCCCTGATAAGAGGGCTGACGTGCGTGGTGTATGCACCGTCTGTCCTCCAACATACTTGACGGTTGTATCGCCCGAATTATACTGCATGTTGTTAGCCAAAATCTTCGATAGCTCAAGAGAGCGACATCATATGTACCAGATCACCATGTACCCACGTCTCAGGGACATCGCCAGCCACCTGGACAACTCCTGAAAAGCTCGCAGTGTTGCCAGAGTTTTGGATATTTTCTAAAATGATGGAGTTGCCAGCAGTGCCTGAGTCTGTAGTTGAGACCAGCGTGCCCATATTGGAGCCAGTCGTGTCGATGACCGTCAAAGACCCGGAAGTGCTACTGGCATCAATACCTGTGGTCCCCCCCTCAAAATGGCATCCGACAAAAACGATATTCGTTCCCCCGGCTATCACACCGGTGGTAGTGCCGCTAAAGGTAAGGTTCTTGAACACCCATTGCTGGCCACTGAGATCCATTCCAATGGCACCACCGATGAAATGGAGATCATTCTGCATGCTTCAGTTTTGAACCTTCAATTAGAAAGTTACGAGAGTGAAAGGCATACCAGAATCACGTTGCTGTTGTAGTCATATTGCGTGGTTAGGCCGGTGTGTCCCGTAGAGCCTTGAGGCATTTTGAAGACCACATTAGTCAACTGTGTAGCCTGGCTGACCGTCCAATCCAGCAGCGCAATCTTCTGAGTCGCGGCCACGTTTGTCGAGTCGATCACGATATTCTTGATCCCAATGTAAAAGTTGACAGTGCCGCCAAAATTCGGATCCTTGGCGTAGACGATATGGTCATTCGGGATGCTAGAACTAGCCTTGAGAACCGGAGGATTCGTGGGATCTCCGACAATCACTGTTCCAATGTACATCTGAATGCTGTTTTCCATCAAGTACGTCCCTCCAGGAAGATAGACCATTGCAGGCTGTCCAGTACTACCCATGGATTTGGAGCTGCGATCCGGGCCATTGGATGATCCCGCTAAACGTGAGGAGAAACTCCAATTTAGTAAAGGCTTCCACATCTATGGGCTTTTCCGCATTTAGCTCCTAGACATACCTTTGATTGCCGCCTGGATGGCCGCCGAGGCATCCCTCGTTCCAGTATTATCTGCGCCATAATCGGTGACCACATTGCGGAACACCTTGTAATTTGGTTTATAGGCCGAGTCTAGATATGACGACTCGCCATTGTGTGCGATAGCCTCATACCAGAACTTTGACGAACCCGACGTAAGACCCGCGCAGGTCTCGGTGTTGCCGGACACACCCACCGTCGTGTCCGACGAGTGAGTGTTGGGGCTTCCAACCCATGGCGCGACAGAGTAATTTTGGATCGTATACGGGACGCCTCTGTGTGAAGCACAATTGTATTAGCCTTCCCCATCGAATCTTCTCTTTGAGGCTCTTGTCCACCTACACCGGATGAGGGACGTAGTCTAGCGGAGGAATATATTGCCCTGCAACCTCCAGAAGAGAGTCAATCAGGCTGCTGGAATCAGGGATAACTCCAGCCAGTCCCCGAGAAGAAAGACAAAACAAAGCAAAACAAAGGGAGTGTAAACGGGCCATGATAGCCACGATGAACTGAAAGGACAGGACGGCGTGGACACGCGAAGATAAAAAAAAGACTAGTAGCCGCGAAAACAAACGAAGGACCAAGTCAGCATTCTGAAAACACAGATGCATACTTCAACGAAACAGGAGAGGGCCGGCGAAAGGGGCCTAGACATAGCCTGAGTTATGCTGGTTGAGCTATGCCGAGCATGCACCCTGAGGAATCCAAGGCTCCACAGTCAACATCGGTATTCTCTAGCTACTTACCGGTTCTGGAGAGCAGCGCATGGACATATCACATAATCAGGGGTGTTCTTCATCGTCATTTATAAGAAACGTGTATTGAGATCAAGAATCACGACATTCTTGCTGTCCGCATGCTGGGCGATGAGGTACTTCAGCCGCGTCGGTGGGCCGACAACGTCGAGAGAGCCGGTTTAACAGCCATCAGTCTTGAGATTCGGAGATCTGTCATTGACACTTTGCATTTCTGCCGTCTTTTCCCCCTAGGGATCTCACCAGACAGGGCTGCGTTAACATGGCTCTGAGGTTGAACATCGGCTGTTGAAGGAGGGAGGGAGAACTCGATCAATTAGGCAGGTGGAACGCGTCGCGGTTTGTCTTTTTCTGTGGGGATCTGCAGCATTATTGGGATTGTCTCCCGCCCAGATACTAATGGTTTTTGATCAGTATGATCTGATTCAAGGTGATAAGTATTATTAATTGCGGAGTACCATTGACAAAGAAATGTTGAAGAGAAAAAAAAAAGAAAGGCCTCACTGGGAATTGAACCCAGGTTACCGGAATCAGAATCCGATGTCATAACCACTAGACCATGAAGCCCTGATTGGTGGAAAGCGCACCAAGTTTTGACTACATAAGCCAGGCTAAATAAAGCTAGCTTGGTTTTCAGCCTGAGGCACCCAACTCCATGCCCAACTTGTACGAGATCAGAGTAACTACGGAGTAGAATACCTCCTGGTTATTGAAAAACCAGTACTCTTTATTTCCAGACACTGCAGACTCGCTTCTAGTCATATTCTCTACTGCTGCACTGCCCGAAAACATGATTTGTTGGCCTAGCAGGCCTGGAAAAGGGAAGAGATGGCTGATGGTTGCTATTGCTGCTACGGCTTAGACGCGAAGCAGGTGGTTGTGCGGTACGGCCGCGCCAAATAAGGTGATACTAAGCCTAATTGGGCACGCACCTCTAACACACCCCCTATTATTAAGCACCTATCTAGACTAGCTAACCTCTTATTTAACATTAATTAAAGCATATAATAGTGGAAAAAAAAGGGGGAATCATTTACTTATTAATTATTAATTATTCCTTATCTAATTTATTCCTAATATGGGTTGGCATTGCCACTTTCCAAAGATTAACTAGTTCTTTAAATGTGATATGCTTTACTTAATCTAGAGGCTTTATTAAGCTATTAGTAAGGTTTATATAACTACTTATCTATTTAACCTTAATTAGTCCCTTATTAATTATATCATAAATAAAAAAGTAATGATTATTAATCTATTTAGTTGTTATATTAAAACTATTCTTCTTAAGAATATCTATAGTGTTAGATGAGTTAGTGTAAATGGGAATAGGGCCTTTCTTTTTAATCTCTATGGCAATAGTCAATTTCTTCAGCTATATAGCCTCTTTAATTACCTATAATAGGGCACAGAATTTGGCGATAGTGCTTAATATAGTGATAAACATTTATTTATATAAAGCCTATAAGATTAGGGCCCTTATAAATATTATAATATATGTGTGATATCGCGAGCGAGCGATATCGCAAACTCCCGCGCGGCCATGAGTAGGATCACCTCAGTAGAACGCCAGGGTGCCTGCTCACTAATAACGCGAAATCTCCTAACCCTGGTGGAGCAGTTATATAGAGTTTTTACTCTATACCAAGGATTAATTAATTCTATAGAGTTCTATCACCACCAGGTCGCTTAGCTTTTAATGAGTTAAGGGGAGGTATATAGATACCTTCCCTCTAACCTATAGTAGTGATAGAATAGAGATTTCTTAGAGACCATTAGCTTTTAAATATTATATCTAGTAGTATATTATATTAGGGGTTAGCCCCTATACTAACCCTGATGAACTGCCACTCTATAAATAATATCTAAGGATTAATAGGATTTAAAAGTAGGATAAAAGGGACAAAAGACCCCTTAAGTAAAGAAAGAAGAATTATTAAGTATCTTTACTAAAGAAACTAAGTAAATAAAAGACTTAATCTTCTACTATAAGTTAATAATAAATCTTATTAGTAATATGCAGAACCACCTGTCGCCTAAGGCATTTAAAATCCTCTTAATAATTATAACTACTAGGATAGATAGGATAGATGTTTACCCCCTTCTTAGATGCCTAAAGTAAGTGCTCTAAGATAAAAGAGGCTAAGTAAACCACCTAGTCTAGGAACTTAAGACTACCCATATATAGGTGGCTTAACTCTAGGATAACCTTTACTAAATGACTACTAGGTAGCTAGGTCCCTAGAATAATACCTAAGTAGCCACTAGGGAAACTAGCCATTAGAAGTTAATTAATAATCTTAATAACTAAAGTAGACACCTCTACTAAAAGATCTTAGAACTTAACTAGATCCCTAAATATATAGGTAAATATTAAGATGAGGGCGCCTAAAAATGGCTATAATAAGTAGATAAATATTTTTAAGATAAAGAAGTCTTATATAAGAAGTTCACCACTAATAGAGAGAAGGTCCTAGTAGTAAAATAGAAACTTAATAGTAAGGCGCATAAATAATAGAGGTATTTATAGAGCTCTATTAATAATAAGCTCTACGCCCTCATTAAAACCATAGTAGAATTTAAGAAGTAGATTATTAATAACTATACTAAACACTTTAGTAAGGAACACTACTAGGAGGTGTATAAGAGTCTTACCTAAGGAAAGTAACCTATTTAGGTATATACTCATAAACTAGTAAAAGTCGCAAACTAGATTAACCCCTTATTAGTAAAGAATATACTTATCTAATAATTTATTATGGGTAGCTAAAAATAACTCTAAGGGTGGTGAGTATATAAATCTAATAAACTAACTACCTTAGCTAAGGTTATTATAAAATTTGCCCTCTATAAGAAAGGGGTTGTTGCCATATAATATATCTATAGGCTAATAAGAGCGCTAGATACTATAGATATTAATACCCTAGGGTAACTATATACCCTGCCCAGGAGGCCTACCCCTATAAATAAATATATACTACACCCCTAATAATTGATCACCAGCATAAGAGGACTCTATTTTATATATAGGAAACCTAAATATTATATAAAGGATTATTAACTAAGTAAAATCCTAATAATAACCTCCTTAATAAAGGCCCTAAGGGAGGGAAATAGAGTTAACTACTAGAACTAAAAGCACTAATGGCGCAAATACTTAAGGCTTCTATAATCCCTAATATTAACCTCCCTAATATCCTGGACCCCTAGGGATTACCACCCCTATAAGGAGATAAAAAGTGAAAAATATAAAAAAGAAAGTATAAACTAATAATCTAAATAATATTAGTATAAATAAATATACTAGGTGGAGGGCTACTAATCTTTAAAGAAGAGATTAGTACTAGAGAATAGGGGAAATTAAAGGTTAAATATATAATTAACAGCGGAGCCTCTAATAACTTTATAAGTAATAGGGTACTTTAAAAACTCACCTATACCTCACCCTAATAGATTAATAAGGGTACTTAGCTAGATATAATACTACTAAATAGTGATTATATTCTAGCTATATACTAAGTACGCCTCCCACTACGCCTCGGCAGATAGATAAGAATAACCCCCACCTAGGTTATTAATAACCTTAAATATAATATTATCTTAGGATAGATATAGCTAAAAGCTACTAACCTTATTATTAAATAGTTAGAATTAAGAATAATTCTCTAGGACCACTGAGGCAAACAGTTCTCTATACTCTTAAAGAATATTAAATAATAAGTTATAATCATACCCTATATTAATATAATCTTAGTATAATATACACTACATGTGCTACATAAGGTGAAATTAAAAGGTATTCTTTATTTTCTTTAATAAACTATTAAGCTCCCAGATGGGCGTAAGTCATATATAAATCCTAAAGTAGAGGTAGTCTTCTAGAAGTATAATATCTTCTACTAAGAACTTATGGCGGCCCTCCCACCTAAATAAGATATTATATATAATATTAATATAGGTGACGCCACACCCGTCAATATTAGCCCTTTCTCCCTCTTATAAGAAAAGCTTAAGGAGCTAATTTAATAATTAAAGGACCTAGAGTAGAAGGGGCTTATTTAACCCTCCACTAGTCCCTAGGGCTTCCCAGTGGTATTTATCTAAAAAGCAATAAGAGAATAATAAATATATATTAACTATTAAACACTAAACAATTTAATAATTAAGAATAGCTACTTATTACCCTAAATCTAGGAGTTGCTAAATATAGTAAGTAGAAGCTAAGTAATATTAAAGATTAATCTCCTATTAAGATACTAGCAGGTATAGATAGGAAATAACTTAGTTAAAAAAATAACATTTAACATAGTATTTAGTAAATTTAAATTCTTAACTATACTATTTAGTCTCTATAACACATTAGCAACATTCTAGATGATGATAAATTATATCTTAAGGAAGTATATTAACCACTTTATAGTGGTATATCTTAATAATATTCTTATCTTCTTTAAGAATATTAATAAGTACTGCTAACACCTTAACCTAGTCCTTACCACCCTAAAAGAATATTAACTATACACTAAAGCATTGAAATGCGAATTCGCCATAGAGAAACTAGAGTTTTATAGACATATTATTAAAAGGGGCTAGATATCACTTATGCCTAAGAAGGTTAAAGTAGTATTAAACTGGCTAAGGCCCTAGAATATCCATAAGGTTTATTAATTCCTAGGATTAGCTACTTACTACTAATAATTTATATAAGGGTTTATATATATCACTATGCCTCTATATAACCTACTAAAGGAATTAGATGCTAAATTGTGCATAAAGAAATTTTAACCTATTATATAGACCGCGTCATGTGAGGCTGCCTTTTAAGTAGTAAAGGAAGCCTTAGTAACCACCCTAGTACTCTATCTACTAGATTATAAGAAGGAGTTCTATATTAAAATAGATGTCTTTAAGTGGGCTATTAATATAATTCTTTTATAGATGGCAGAAGATAGTGCTGACCACTCTATTATATTTAATAGATAAAAGCTATCTTCTATAGAGTAAAACTACTTAATACAGGAGAAAGAGCTGCTAGTAATAAAGAAGGCGCTATAAACTTAGAATCACTATATTAAAAATAGCACTATTATAACTATTATTATAGATTATAAGAGCTTATAGTATTTATTAATAATAAAGATATACTCTAAGAGACTTATATAATAGATTAATAAGTTTAGTAGATATAATCTAAAGATTTGCTACTAAAAAGGGACTAAAGTAATTATCCCTAATATTATTAGTTACTAACCTAACTTTATTAAAGACAGGCCTAAAGATAAGGTAGAAGACATAGTCTAATAAGAGTGGTAATAAATATTTATGGCCTCCCTATTAGCACTTTAAGGCTACTTAGAGGAGGAGTGGCTAAAAGGTATAGTAATATACCTAGTAATAAGTAAAGCACCCGCGCACCAGGGTCTTTAATATATAATTAAAAAGATAACTCCTAACTTCTACCTAGTAAGAGAGAATAATAATAAGCTAAAGCATATTTATAATAACTATAAAGCACTATATCTCTTAGTTCCTTTTTATACAGACTTTATTAAGTAAATATATAATAAATT